CCTGGCTCTGTGCTCAGGGATCACTCAGCCACATGCAAGGCAGCACCCTTCCTGCTGTACTATCTCTCCAGACCTCAAAAATAAAAAATTAAAAAATTATTGCTATTTAATTATATTATCATCTAACTTTTGGTAAGGGAGCAAGAAATGTGAAGTGGAGCAAGGAAAGCCTCTTTAACAAATGGTTGGTGCTGGCAAAACTGGACAGTTACATGCAAAAAAAATGGGCGCAGACCTCTACCTAACACCATGCACAAAAGTCATATCAAAATGGATTAAAAACCTCAACATCAGACCAGAATCAACCAGGTACATCGAAGACAAGGTCGGCAAAACCCTCCACAACTTTGAAGCTAAAGGTATCTTTAAAGGTGACACACCATTGGCCAAGCAAACAGAGATAAACAAATGAGACTACCTTAAACTAGAAGCTTCTGCACCTCAAAAGATTCAGTGACCACTCGTCCTTCACGCCCTACCGAGGTCACGAGTTGCCCCCACGAGTGGCTCTCTGGAACAGCCATGGCTCCAGAAGCAGAAGGACTTACCTGACAGCTTGCGGCAGAAGAGCGAATGGTCCCTGCATTAAACTATGGCATCATGCCTCCCCGGGAGGGAAAGGGTGTTGCTCCCTTCTATCTTTTTCACCCCTAGCAGCAAGGTGGACGCCGCCTCAGAGCTTATAGGAAAGCCAGGTATGAGCCAGCGGTGACGGGGTAACTGCAGTCTCATGGGAAGGGGAGAGCGGTACCGGCTCGTCCTTCATGCCCTACCGAGGTCACGAGTTGCCCCCACGAGTGACTCTCCAGCACAGCCATAACACTAGATGAACAGAAACCAATCTCGTAATTATTTCGCTCTTTGCAGAAATCCAAAATCATTATATGACATTATATGATTCTCATACCAGTTATAGAAAACAAAGTATTTCACAATGCATTTTCAACAATTCTGACTGTTGGGGGGGGGAATTATAAACAATAATGGTGCATCTTTTGTTGAAATAATGAATGTAATCAATGTAGAGAAGAGTTAAGTAGAAATCATTTGCCTCACAGGCATTGGGAGGGGTGGGAGGGGGGTATATTGGGGTTCTTGGTGGTGAAAAATCAGTACTGGTGAAGGGAAAGGTGTTTGATTATTATATGACTGAGAATTAAACCTGAAAGCTTTGTAACTTTTCCCACAGTGAGTCAATAAATAAATAAATAAAATCATGAAAAAAAAGTAAGGTGGAGTTCATGCCCAATTCAATCAGCTAATCAGTGGCTGAATAAATAGCAGTACTCCTACATTAAAAAAAAAAAAAGATACAGTGACCAGAATACAAAGAAAGTCTACATATGGCAAAGGGTATTCACCAAATACCCGTCTGATAAGGGGTTGATATCAAGGACATACAAGGCACTGTTTGAACTCCACAAAAAGAAAAATCCAACTCCATCAGAAAATGGGACGATGAAATGAACAGAAACTTTCTCAAAGAAGAAATCCGAATGGCCAAAAGGCACATGAAAAAATGTTCCTCATCACTAATCATCAGGGAGATGCAGATCAAAACAACAATGAGATACCATCTCACACCACAGAGACTGGCCCACATCCAAAAGAACAAAAGTAACTGGTGTTGGCGCGGATGTGGAGAGAAAGGGACTCTCCTTCACTGCTTGTGGGAATGCAGACTGGTTCAGTCCTTTTGGAACACAGTATGTATGCTTCTCAAAAAATTAGAAATTGAGCTCCCATTTGACCCAGCAATACCACTTCTGGGAATATATCCTGGAGATGCAAAAAAGTACAGTCGAAATTACATCTGCACTTCTATGTTCATTGCTGCACTGTTCACAATAGCCAAAATTTGGAAAAAAAAAAAAACAACAAGTGCCCGAGAACAGATGACTGGTTAAAGAAACTTTGGTACATCTACACAATGGAATACTATGCAGCTGTTAGAAAAGATGAAGTAATGAAGTTTGCATATAGGTGGATCAACCTGGAAAGTATCATGTTAAGTGAAATGAGTCAGAAAGAGAGGGACAGACATAGAAAGATTGTACTAATTCGTGGAATATAAAGTAACAGAAATGGGAGACTAACTCCCCAGAGTAGTAGAGATAAGGACCAGGAGGTCTGCTCCACAGCTTGGAAACCAGCCTCACATGCTGGGGGAAAAGGCAGCTCAGATAGAGAAGTGAACACCAAGTAAAGGGTATTGGCAGGACCCATTTGGGTTGAAAGATGTGTGCCGAAAGTAAACTATAGACCGAACACAATGGCCGCTCAATACCTCTATATTGCAAACCACAACACCCAAAAAGAGAGAGAATAAAAGGGAATGCCCTGCCGCTGAGGCAGGATGGGGTGGTGGAGGATGGGGTGGGGCAGGTGGGAGGGATGCTGGGAACATTGGTGGGGGAAAATGGGCACTGGTGGAGGGATGGGTCAATGATCATTGTATGACTATAATGCAAACACCAAAGTTCGTAAATCTGTAACTGTAAAAAAAAATCTAATAAAGTCAACAACAACAACAACAAATTATTACTACTTAAAAGGAATAATAAAACAAGACTGTATCACTATATCACTGCCATCCCACTGTTCATTGATTTGCTCGAGCAGGTGCCAGTAACATCTCCATTTGTCCCAGCCCTGAGATTTTAACAGCCTCTCCTTACTCGTCCTTCCCAACAGTGCCATATTGGAGACTCTTTCAGGGTTAGGGGAATGAGGCCTGTAATTGTTATGGTTTTGGGCATATTGAATACGCCACGGGGAGCTTGCCAGGCTTTGCTGTGCAGGCAGGATACTTTTGGTAACTTGCTGGGCTCTCTGAGAGGGATGGAGAATGTATATAAGAGAATACAAGCAAGTATGTTAAAACCAAATACATGTGTCCTGCTTTAGGTACGTCAGTGGGCTAAACTATAAGAGGTCATGCTGCCATGAATGCTTTTGTTTTATAGTCTCTGGATCTTGGCCATTGATGGGATTACATGGTGCTGGATGGGGGGGGGGGGGGCAGTTGGTGAGTGTGACTTCCAAGCTACTGGAAAATGGGGGATCTGGGTAGAGGAGGCCCAGTCCAGAACCGAGCAGGCTTGGAGATCTCAGCCCCGGGTTCTGCATGCCTGGGTTTCTTTGCTGGTTCCTTCATGCGTGAGGCTCATCCGAGGGTGTGGAGAGTAGCGTTGAGCATAGCTGTGGCTGGGTTCTGGCAGTTTCCACTGCTGGGTTTCTGCTTTGGGCAGGGAGGGAAACTCAACCTGCCCCCTTCTGAGGGGCCCCGTTGAAGACAGCCTGGCACAGGGGCAGGACACATAAACAAGATAAATAAAGACAAATAAAAAATAAAAAAACAAGACAAAGAAAACTCTCACAGGAAAAATAAGAGCAAAAAAAAATAGAGATAGTACTGTCTTGGTTAATAAGGATTTTTTAATTTTATTATTATTATTATTATTGCTTTTTGGGTCACACCCGGCGATGCTCAGGGGTTCCTCCTGGCTCTGCACTCAGGAATTACCCCTGGCGGTGCTCAGGGGACAATATGGGATGCTGGGAATTGAACCCAGGTCTGCCGCGTGCAAGGCAAATGTCCTACCTGCTGTGCTATCGCTCCAGCCACAGTTTAATTTTTTTTACTTGCTTTTTTTCTCCGCCCCCCAAAAAAACCTAAAATGCATAAGCATAAAATGAGAATCTTAATTCCACCAAGAAGAGGTCACTGGGAAAGTAAAGGTGGAGATGAGTCTATTTAATTCCATTTTTCATTTGTTTTTTGCATCTAAAAGACACGGGTAAAAATTATAGCAATATTCTGCTTCTAACATATAAACATTTCAGATAATTACTATTCCAGTTATTGTAGCTCCTCTACAGCAGAGGAGCTGGGGAAAACAGGAAAAGTAGTGAAAAAGGTGGTGTAGAAGTACAGCGGGTAGGACAATTGCTTCGAGTTCTGCCGACTTGGGTTTAATCTCTGGCATCCCATGTGGTCCCCTGAGCATCACCAGGAGTGATTCCTGAGTGCAGAACCAGGAGTAATATATGAGCACCGCTGGGTGCGTCCCGCCCCCCTCCTGTTAAAACACAGAATCATTTCTCTTATATATAGGATATAAAGAAACATAGTAAACGGAATAACAAATACTACCAAAGCAACAGAACCTGAGAGTTGGTCTACAGAACTAAGCTTAGGGTGGGGAGGAAGGGGATGCAAACAGCGGAGGTGCTCAGTTAGCGGTGGAGGGTGCGGAACGTTGTACGCATGAAACCCTATCATTATTGTAACTCACATGCCTCAAATTAAAATTAAATTATTAAAAAATAGAGATTGAGGGTCACCCTCTGCTGTGACAGCTCTCCTTTTATGACAGTCTCATTCCCTACCCGCTGTACTAGCGCTCCGGCCCCCGACCCTCAATCTTAGTCATCATCTGACACATCCAGCTCCTCAAACCTTGCTGATGTGCTTTGGGACCACGAACACGAATATAGGAGCAACTAGAGGTCATTTTTAAAAGAAATACAAATCTCTAACTTTCTTTTTGAAAACATTTGGAAAGGTCTTTTCCTATTCTAGAAGAGACCCGCGTGTGTTTCATCAAACGTATTCTAGTATCTCATTGAGCAAATTTGAGCTAAAGTCGTGTCTTTTATTCCTTCTGGACGTCTTCACTTGGAGACTTTCCTTCTGATTTGGGAAAGAAACACAAACCCCCAAAGAAAGGGCCTCTTTATTTTCTATCTTGTCCTCGACTTTATCATCTGGAAAGATTAGATCGTTAGGTACTCCCTGGACTGCAGAGATTACAAGACTGAATGCGAGTCAGCTGGACGCAGGTCCGGTCCCGCCCCCACCCGTGCCCGTCCCCGCCCATTCCCCCACGGCCCCGCCTCCGCCCAGGGCTGTGGACACAGCAGCTCGTCCCTGGCCCCGCCCCTTACCCACGGCCCCGCCCCCGCCCTGGATTGCGGCCTCTGCTGCTCCGCCCGGGCCCAGCCGGAAGCCTGCATGGTTCGTCCAGCAGCCGCGCGCCGCCGACCCGGTAACTAGCCCAGGCCCAGTGCAGCCCGGGCAGCCCCTCCGCGACCTGCCTCCCAGCCAGCGAGTCCCGGCCGGGTACCGCAGCTCGCTCGCTCGCGGGGTGGCACTGGCATCAGAGCTGTCTCCCGCACCATTAGCCCCGGCGCCCCTCCCCGCGCGTGCGGCCCCCTCTGCCAAGGCCCTATCGGTCTTTGTGAGTCCTTAGACTTCTCCCTGGAGTCCGCTTGGCGCTGTCGTCCTCTCTGGAACCGGGTGCGCCCCACCACCCCCCCAGACACACGTTTAGAGAAAGCTGGAAATCAATGTTCCTCCCAGTGCTTTGCTTTGTGCCCAGTGCAGGTTTCTGCAGGTGGGCTCGGGAGTCCGAAAAGGAGGCGTCTGCCGAGTTTCCCCAGTGTCCTATTCTGCAGACCTGCAGAGAACTGTGCAGTGCCCTAGAGGGGGCAGCGGCCCGCTGGGGCTCTGTCTGCTGTCTCAGATCTGCCGCCTGCACCCTCTCTGTTGGTCCCCAAGGCTCCACCAAGTGGGTGGCAAGCTTTCTGAGTCTCTGTGACCCATTCCCACTCTGGAATAAGAAGCAGCGGGGATGGGGGGGGGGTGGGGTGAGGGGTGGGGGGAGGTTAGAAAATGCTGTAGCCAGAGGTGACTGACTTCCCCGATCCCCAACTAACTGGGTCACCCCACACCCCATCCCATCTGTCGCTTGGTGCCACCCTGAAATGGTCAACAGGGTTTGATCTTTCTCGACATTTTACCTCTGCCTCTGGGGGCAGCTAATTCTACCTCTCCGCAGTTTCCCTCTTTGATTTGCCTTGCCCTAAAGTCTGGATGGGCATCGTTCTGCCCTCTGGGCCCCACGGTAGCCCTTGGGCTCACTGAAGCAAGCAGGAGCTGCCCTTCTCCCACAGAGACAGATGCCTGCATGCCCTCATTCCTTGCACAGACAGGTGTGGAGCCCTCACCCTTGTTGCTGGGCCTGATTAGTTTCATCTTCCCAGAAAATGGGAAGCCCAGAGCAGAGGCCAGTGTCCATGGGTGAGGTGGTCTGCCTCACCTCACCACACCCTGGGAATTAGATCCTGCCAGGTTTCCCTTCCAGGCTCCTAGCCCTGCTCTAACTTTTGTCAGTTCATACATCTCCTTCCTTTAGTGGGGCCTTGTGAAATGTTCCAGCAGAAGCTCCCTCTTCCTCAAGGACCTTGGGCCATTGGCATTGGCATTACCCTGGCTACAGGGTTACAGAACACTCTCCCTTAATGACAGTACTGCTGTCCCATGCCCCCCTTCCCCAGTTCTGTCCTGTGAACATCACAACAGCTTTTCTTATTGGCATTTGGAGCTAACCTGGTTTTATTTCTGTGACATGCTCGTCCATACAGGGTGACCACATGTGCCACTTTGCCCAACCATTTACCTGGCTTATTCTCATGTTCCCAGCATAGTTATTGGCAGCAGCATCCACTTTGACTTTGGAAAGTTTCGTGAGTTAAACTTGTCTCTGGCTGTGCTCATATGTGTAGGCACAGGAGTAGTTACCCACTAGGACTTGGTCTGGGTTCTGAGATGTCAGAACCTGGAGAACACAATTCCTTTCATTAATGCTGTCTCACTTTCTTATGAGTGGCAAGCTCCCACAGGCTTTGTTCAGAGAGCAGAAACCCCTTTTTGGTTCTGGCAGAGAAACAAGAGTAAGTTGGTGCTGAGAGCTGTGTCTAGTCAAATTCCATCCTCTGAGGTCCTGTGGGACCAGAACCCCTGAATTCACTGCCATAAGGCAGAGAAGGGCTGGAGCGATGGTACAGCGGGTAGGTCGTTTGCCTTGCACGCAGCCAACGTGGCCGACCCAAGTTTGATTCCTCCGTCCCTCTCGGAGAGCCTGGCAAGCTACCGAGAGTATCTCGCCCGCATGGCAAAGCCTGGCAAGCTACCCGTGATGTATTCAATATGCCAAACACAGTAACGAGTCTCACGATGGAGACGTTACTGGGCCCGCTCAAGCAAATCGATGAACAACGGGAGGATAGTGACAGTGACAGAAGGCAGAGAAAGGGGTTCAGAGCTCAAGGCTCCTTGATGTGACTTCTGGCTGCTAGGGGTCAGGATATGGAAGTGTGATTAGGGATGGGGTTCCTTGGACACAGCCCTACCCCCAATCAGAGGGTTCACGTAGAGCCTGGCCTGAGAGTGGTAAGGACTCTAGTGTCATGTCAGACTATTCTAGGATTCAACTGAGAGGGCACTGGGCTCACTCCTCCTTCCCTCCCTCCCTCCCTCCTTCCCTCACTCCCTCCCTCCCTCCCTCCCCGCCTCCCTCCCTCCATCCCCTCCTCCCCTCCTCCCCTTCTCCCTTCCCTCTCTTCCTCCCTCCCTTCCTTCCTCCCTTCCTTCCTTCCTTCCTTCCTTCCTTCCTTCCTTCCTTCCTTCCTTCCTTCCTTCTTTCCTTCCTCATTCCTGCCTCTAGTCAGGCTCATTCTTGGCTCTGTGCTCAGGACCCCTAGCAGTGCTAGGGGAACCATATATGGTGCCAAGGATCAAACTAGGCCAGAAGCCTTAACCTCTGTATTATCTCTCCAGTTCTAGGGTCCCACATGCAAAGTATGTGCTCTAGCCCTTGGAGCTATTTCCTGGGTCCGAGGACATTGGTTGAGCTGGACAACCAGCTGCCCTAAGTTTGCCTTGACATGAGACAGTTTCAGAATCATGAGACAGTTTCAGAATCAGGAAAGCCTGGGCAAACTGAGACGAGTTGGTCACTCTCTTCCCAAACCTGGTGCACATTATTTACCCATAGGGTCCCTCAAGAAAAGATTCTGATTTGATTGCTCCAGACAGGTTCCCAGATAGAGGTATTTTTTTTCTTTAAGCTCCAAGTTGTCTTCAACAAACTATCAGAGTGAAGAATCAATAGATTTTAGTCTATCTTGCTAAGCAAATTTGTTTTTTTTTTGTTTTTTTTTTGTTTTTTTGGGTCACACTCTGTGATGCACAGGAGTTGCTCCTGGTTCATGCACTCAGGAATTACTCCTGGTGGTGCTCGGGGGAACCATATGGGATGCTGTTAATGAAACCTAGGTCGGCTGCTTGCAAGGCAAAAACCCTACCCACTGTGCTATTGCTCCAGCTCCTTGCTAAGCAAATTTGAAGGTGACTTTTTTTTTTAATCTAGGTCCTTTTAAACTTTTTGTTTGTTTGTTTGTTTGTTTTTGTGGGGGTTTTTTGTTTTTTTGCTTTTTGGGTCACACCCAGCGATGCTCAGGGGTTCCTCCCGGCTCAGGCACTCAGGAATTGCTCCTGGCAGTGCTCGGGGGACCATATGAGATGCTGGGAATCGAACCTGCGTCGGCCATGTTGGCTGTGTGCAAGGCAAATGCCTTACCCGCTGTGCTAGTGCTCCAGCCCCATAAACTTTTTTTGTTTTGTTTTGGGTCACACCTGGTGGTACTCAGAGCTTACTCCTGGCACTGTGCTAATGGATCACTCCTGTCAATACTCAGGGCTGAGATCATATCAAAGTTTGGACTATCTCTCAGGCCCTGAAGGTGGTAATTTATTTATTTATTAGGGAAAGTGGAACCAGACATACATCAAAATGGTCTATGAACAAGTGTAATTTTGTTTTTTATCCAGAGGATATAAAAATGGCTGTTGCCTATTATTGTTGTTAACATCCCTACCCCAAAACTTTCTTTTGCCCAGTGAGCACCAGGCTTTCTCCTTTCCCAACATCTTTTGTTGTGCACTTTTTTTAAATTTAGGTTTTTATTAGTGAAACACTATGAGGTACAGTTGTAGATTTACAAATTGTTGTGCTTGGGTTTCAGTTATACAATGATCGAATACCCATCCCTCCACCAGTACCCATTCTCCACCACCACTGATCCCAGTATCCCTCCCATCCCCCGTTCCCCCCCCCCCCACCCCGTCCCACATTCCCCCTTGTTCTCTCTCTCCTTTTGGGTGCTATGGTTTGCAAAAGAGACATTGAGTGGCAATCATGTTCTGTCTAGAGTCTACTCTCAGCACACCTCTCCCATCCTGGGAGGATCCTCCCAACACCCTTTATTTGGTGCTCCCTTCTCTATCCGAGCTCCCTTTTCCCCTAGCATATGTGGTTGGCCTCCAAGCCATGGACCAAAATTCCTGGTACTAATCTAGGCAGTTCTTGGGTGTTAGTCTCCTATTTTGTTACTTTATGTTCCCCAGTTGAATGCAATCTTTCTATATCTATCCCTCTCTTTCTGACTCATTTCACTTAACATGATACTTTCCATGTAGTACCACTTCTATGTAAATTTCATGACTTCATCTTTTCTAACAGCTACATTGTATTCCATGGTGTAGATGTACCAAAGTTTCTTTAACCAGTCATCAGTTCTTGCGCATTCAGGTTTTTTCCAGATTCCAGCTATTGTAAATAGTCGTTGCACACTTTCTTAAGGTTGTAAGAAGTGGGGTTGGATCAGGAGTTAAGGCACTTTCCTTATATGTTGCCAGTTCACCCCTCTGCAGCATGTTCCCTGAGCCATGCTAGGAGTAGTCCCTGAGCACAGAGCCAGGAGTAGTAAGCCTGAAGTAATAACACAATGGTTGTGACCCTAACCATCCTCCCAATAAAGACTGGAATTGCCTCAGGTCCACTGGAGGGTTGTGATTTGCAAAGTCCCAGAGAGAGATGACACAAGACTCTACATGGGGCTCCATCTGAAAGGGACGTTTGGCCCAAGAAACAGCTCAGGGGCTGGGTTGGGTGGGGGCATATGTACTTCAGCATCACCCGCTGAGGTGCTGACCTTGGTAACCTGGTGACTCTGGACTGTCCCGTCTGCAGAACTATAGGATCATGTGGTACATCAGCACTCGGGGGATGTCGCCGCGGGTCGACTTTGAGGGGGCCCTCTTCTCTGGCTATGCACCAGACGGGGGGCTCTTCATGCCTGAGGAGGTGCCCCAGCTGGGCAGGGAAACCCTGCTGGAGTGGAGCACGTTCTCCTACCCCCGCCTGGTGAAGGAGGTGAGCGCGCTCTTCATCGGCCCCACGCTCATTCCGAGAGATGACTTAAACGGTGAGCAACCCCACTGCCCGCTCTCCCGTCCTCTCCTGCCATCTGTGTGGCAATTTGTCACTGTCCAGATTCTAAAGATTTTGAGTCACATTCTCCAATGTGGATTTCCGCCCCCCCCCCACCCAGGCTCTGGTATTCCCACATTGGAAATAGCTAGCATCCCCTCCCCCCCCAACACACACACACACACACACACACACACACACACACACACACACACAACATTCCTCTCTTTCAGCACTCACCTCCAGCACAATGTGGGCCAAAGTGTTTTGCAGAGAATTTCTTTGAGTTTCTTTTACAAACAAAAGTCCCTTGTGGAGGTTAGAGATTTCAGTATTCATTTGTGCAGTTTGGCAAGATAGTTACCTTCCTGCAAATAAAGCTTCTCCACCTTCTGATTACTGTTTTCTATCCCTGAATGGTCATTCTAGAAGGGATCTCTGGTTTCTGTACCAGCCACCAGCGCCTGTCAAAATTCATGTGCCCCTGGGTTTCCCTGGGGACCTGGTCAGATGCTGGTTCTGGTGCATTTAGTTTGGGCTGGTCCTGAGAATTCTTTGTTCTTGCTAGTGTGTTGATCCTGCTGGTCCATGGGCCAACTGTCTGGTGTCAGCCGAAATGTAATGGTGAGAGTTGTGGTGGGGAAGAGAAAGACTTCCTGAAATGTGGTTAGATGAAAGACCCTGAAGTTCCTGTCTCTTAGTCTTTGAAGATCATTAGGAAGCTCAGACCTGATAAACTAGGCTCTGTGCTTAAGTTCTTAGGAGATTCATTTGCCAGTTTTGATAAACACTCACTGCTCTCCAGACCCACTTAGGCGAGAGTGTGTCAACCATCCCATGCATGAGAGCTAGAAATGTCACAGATGAAAAGTCCCTGATTTTAGGGAGGAAAATAAAAGAGATGTGACATGTATTTGTTTGTCATGTTAACAGTTTGAATCTCTATTGTAATACATTCTCATCAGAAATTTAGAAAATGAATAATTTATTTGTTTTTTGTTTTTGTTGTTGTTTTGACCATCACCAGCCATGCTCAGGGTTTACTCCTGATTCTATGCTCAGGGATCACACTGTTGGTGGTGCTTGGGGGGATCATATATTATGCTGGGAATTAAACTGGGATCAGCCCACGTAAGGCAAGTGCCTTACCCATATATTATCTAACTTTGAAGAATTTAATTTTATTGTAATATTAAAAATCTTTATTGATTGAGGTACTGTGATTTGCAATATGTTTATGATGGTTTCATGCCATTCCAATACCATATGTTATCACCGAGTCCCCAAGGTCTCTCTCTTTCAGTCCCCTTGCTTCCCTCCCCTCCATAAGCTCAGTTGTGTAGATCAACTTCCCCATTCTGTTGCCTTTCAACCCTGAAGAATTTTATAAGATGAAAAGTCTTACAGCACCAATTCTTTCTGGAGGATTAGTTTGAGGAATCTATAGGTGGTTTATATTTTTCAGATCTATAATCAAATTCTAGCACAGCATGTAGGGCGTTCGCCTTACAAGCGGCCAACATGGCCGACCCGAGTTCAATTCCTCCGCCCCTCTCGGAGAGCCCGGCAAGCTACCGAGAGTATTCGATATGCCAGACACAGTAACAACAAAGTCTCCAATGGAGACGTTACTGGGCCCGCTCGAGCAAATCGACGATCAACGGGAGGGCCTTTACCTTTTTTTAACCTTTATAATCAAATTCTAGAACATTTCAATTCTAAAGAATATAATTTTGTACTGTTTAACTGGTAGCAGGAGAAACTTCTGTTTCAGAGGTGTAAAGAGACAGAGAACTTGTGGAAAGAGATGATGCCCTTCTCGTCGCTCCCCACAGATCTGATTGACCGAGCCTTCAGCAGATTCCAGCACAGAGATGTGGTCCATCTGGCCAGGCTGAAGGACGGGCTAAATGTGCTGGAGTTGTGGCATGGCGTGACGTATGCGTTTAAGGACCTGTCCCTCAGCTGCACAGCTCAGTTCCTGCAGTACTTCCTGGAGAAGAGGAAGAAGCACATCACTGTGGTTGTAGGTGTGCACAGTGGCCTGACCTGGGGGTACTCAGCCACAGGAGCACCCCAAAGCTCTCTGTTGCTATTTCCCAGGGAGTGTTACTGATTCTTCTAGAGTGGGACTTTGAACTTTTCTTGTGCCCTGAAGTCTAGTGGGGTCTATGGAGGTTTCCCATAATAGTATTGTTAATACATAAAATTGTATGGTAGCAGATTCACCAATATCCTGGATTCTGTCCATGAATCTCTTGGGACTTCGTGGACACCAAATTAAGTACCAGATTTTTTTCCTCCAAGTGTTTGGAAGTAGTTAGTGCTTACCTTAAGAGCAATGCTTTAGGGTCATTTCTTTCCTTCTCTCTCTCTCTCTCTCTCTCTCTCTCTCTCTCTCTCTCTCTCTCTCTCTGTTTCTAAATGAGACAGTTCTCCTTTCTTCCCACTCAGGAACTTCTGGGGACACAGGGAGTGCAGCCATTGAGAGCGTGCAGGGATCAAAGAATGTGGACATCATTGTATTGCTGCCCAAGGGTCACTGCACGAAGATTCAGGAGCTCCAGATGACAACGGTGCTGAGTGAGAACGTCCATGTGTTCGGAGGTGGGTGCTGGGATCCAGGGACTTGGGAGGCAGCATGGGCGGGTCTGAAGATAACCAGTTACAACGGGCAATCATCTTTCCTTTTCTTCTGTCTCCTTCATCAGGCCTGTTCTGAGATTGGTTTAAGGCCTTAGTTTAGCTCGCGGTGGGCTTTTGGCTTTCAGCCCCAAAATGTCATAAGCTATCAGAGAAGACAGATGAATACCCTAGGAAGCACAGGTTTGAAAACATACCCCCCAAAAGAGCCACATACAGGTTCAGCCTACTGCTACCCTGGTTATAGGTATCCCACCCGACAACTATTGTCTTGTGATCTGGGTTTCATCCCAGGACACTCAAGTTTGAGGACACAAACATGTTCAATAATTAAGAGTACATGTCCACCATTATAATTTATACTAGGCCATGTACTGGACTAGCAGGTCTGAGTTATTAAAGTCAGAAGCTGTGCACAGCCAGATGTGGCTCTATCTCTCTCTCCACAAAGGTTTTTCAAGCTTACATATCTGAAGTGCAGAGATGGGTGGGAGTCTTATGGATTGACTCAGTGGCACAGCAGCGCTTCTGGGACCCAGATTCTTCCTCTGCTCTGATTCCCCCAGTCCTGATGCTCATTCCTCATGTGGTATATGACAGTGGTCAAGGCCACCAAGACATCTCTTGAAACTAATGAATCCTGGGGCTGGAGAGATATTTCAGTGTAGAGCATGCAGGAGGCCTGGGTTCAATCCGTAACTTCTCATGGCCTTTGTGCACTACAGGGTGCAATCCCTGAGCATAGTTAGGAGTAGTTCCCAAGTGCCACTGGGTGTGGCCCCAACCCCCCAAAAGAACTAAAACTATAAAACAGTGAAGATTTTTTTTTGAACACCATCAAATATCTCCCCTAGGTCTGGTTGACCCAAATTTGGTTATGTGCCCATCTTGGAGTCAAACTCTCACACACAGAAATGCTAGGTGTTGATTGGTTTAGTTCTAGGTTGGCATAGGGAAGGGGTGGTCTAGCAGTTCTCCACCATTCACGGTTCTGATATGCATGTGGAGTTCGTTCCCCAGCTTTATACTGACACAGGGGAAGGGAATGTATAACAACCTCAGTATCTCCTCTACATTTCCCAAGCTGTGCTCCAAGCTTGCTTCCATTGGAAGAATAGATTCAGTACCAGATATGAGAACAATATCGAGTTGGTTGCTTGTTGAGCTGGACTGAGGATTGCAGCTGACACTAGTTGCTGTTCACCTCTAAGCGTACTCACTAACTCACTCATAAATTAAGCTGTATACACATCCGGATCAGGGGAAATTCTTCCTGTATCCGCTTTTCACATAGGAGCAGTAAAACACCTACCATCCTCTAAATGAAAAGAAAGGGCAAAGTCTTGAGAATAGCAGCTTCCCTCCATCACTTCTGATGAGATGGTGGGTAATCAACCTTTTGCCCCCAATAATCAGATGCATTGTTTCTGAGCCTTCACAGGGCGGGCAGGGAATGGGCTCAGAACCCCAGGAGCAATCCAATTCTATCAAATAACAGAAACACTGGAAATATGACCTCAAGATTATAGGACAAAGGGTCTGTCCCTGAAGAGCTCAGAGTCTAGAAATCTCTGAGTCTAAAAAGCCAGGCCAAGACAAGTGAGAGTTAAGAACCCAACTTGGAGGAAAGTGCCCGTGGGCTGGGTTCAGCCTGAGAGGACACGTACTGACCATGGGGACGTTTCGTGCTCCTGAGAGCTGCCCTTTTCTCTCTCCTGACAGTGGAGGGAAACAGTGATGAGCTGGATGAGCCCATCAAGGCTGTGTTTGCTGATGTGCCTTTTGTCAAGAAGCACAACCTCATGAGTCTGAATTCCATCAACTGGTCCCGCATCCTGGTGCAAATGGCCCACTTTTTCTTTGCTTACTTCCGATGTGCGCCATCCTTACATACTCAGTCCCTGCCACTTGTGGAGGTGGTTGTGCCAACAGGGGCGGCTGGCAACCTTACAGGTAAGGAGACTCTTGGGTGAAGAGGATTTTCCAGAAATATGCCCTTGTCCTCTCCCAGCTGACTTACATCTGTGAGACAAAGAACTAAATTCTTTAAAGGTGAAGGGAAACCAGAGAGAAGAAGGTTCCTGAAAATGTCCCTCAAACTGTTTATGGGCACCCCCGACCTCTTGCTGTAAAGGGAGGATGGACTAACCCAGACATGCTCTGGTTACCTGACCTGAGATGCTTGGTCAGCAGACTGTGCAGAAACGGGATCAAGGTTCTGTCTCTGTGCCCGGCTGGCAGTGCCTGCTCCAGAATCACAGACTTTACTCCAGCCTCTGCCAGTTGCCTGCTCAGAGGCCAAAAACCTCAGCCAACACACATTCCCACTTCTAGACTCACAACCCAGAGACATTGTGAGGCAAGAGCCCTGGACTTGGGGTTCAGGCCCCAGTTCAGTGCTAGCTGCCAAGTCCCTCAGCAACTCTGCTCTCAAAGCAGGCTTGGCAGCTCACTTATCTCTCTTGGAGCTGCCGCAGGGCAACATCAGATTCTTTCAGGGTGTGTGTGAACTTTATAAGGGTAAAGTGCCTTACGGCTGCGTGGCATAAAAACCGTGCCCTGCAATAGTGGTCACCATTTGTTAATGCCCCTTATTACTTCTTAAGCCTTAGGCGTGGCTCTGGTGCTTTCCATGAGTTCAACTTCCTGTGCTCTGGAGAACAGTGCTGTGGCTTCTGATTTATAATGAGGAAACTGAGGAATGGAGAGGAACAGCTCACCTCTGGGGCTGATCTCTGTGCTGCCTCCTACCAGGAGGTATGGTTTCTGGGGGATCTCTGAGTGGCACCGAGGATGGCTTAGGTGAGACCCTAAAAGCATGAGACTGGTCAGGTGTCTTCCGCCTTCTTCCACCAACTCATGGAAGGGAGGAGTGATGAGTTTGCCAAGAGGCAGCGCAGCTCAGCCTTCCTCAGCCCCGGAGGGTGAAATAGACCACCTAGGAAAGGACTTTGAACTCTTAGAAAGTCTCTGGGGGAGCTGTGATTACCCCTAATTCTCTTTCCCATTCAGGAGAGGATGTGAAACCTCCCTGGCAATGCTGCCTTCTGGGGTTCTTCATCTCGCAGGTGCAGAAGTCCCCTCTGGTTCGTGCAAGCGAGCTTCTATTTGTGGGGTCTCATGTCTGCCCTCGCTGCTTCTCCTGGAGATGCAACTGAGCGAGCTGGTGGTGAGAGGCTGAGTCAGGGGTCTGTGCTCAGGACTCAAACCTTCTATGAATCCTTCTGCTTCCATTTATCAGACTTTTAGTGAGTAATTCTGATCCTTAGGACCTTCATTTTCTCTTCTGCAAAGGAGAGCAGAAGGTGTTTCATACCTGGTGCAAGTGGCCTGGGAAAACACGGGACACATTGTTCTCCTCCTCCTCCTCCTCTTCCTTCCTCCCCCCACAGCCCCTGTAACAGCTCATTACTCTGTGATCGACCTGGCATAAATTCAACCATTTAAAGTATAGAACTAACTGTTTTTAGTATATTCACAATTTTTACAGTCAACACCACAGCCAGTTTTAGAACATTCTCATCACCCTAAAAAAATGTCTGTACGTGTTAGCAGTCACTTCCTCTTTTCCCTCAGTTCCCCCATTTCTCTGGCTACTGATTGATTTGTCTCTATAGGCTTACCTATTCTGGATTTTCTATAAATGGGGTCCTAGACCAGGGAGCCATTTGTGTGAAGGAAGCTGGTCTGACTTCTTTCACTTAATGTACTGCATTCAAGGCTCAGCCTTGTAGCGTGAATCAGTATTCAGTCCTTGTCCCTAGAGGAGTAATCTTTCATTGTAGGTGTATGTATGCCATGTTTCGTTTATCTGCTCATCAGCTGATGCACTCCTGAACTGTTCAGTTTTCTTGTTTGAGTTTTGAATTTTGGATCACAACTTAATCGCAGATCTGTGTTCAAGGATTACTCCTTGGTGCTCAGGGGACTGTATGTGGTACCAGGGGTTCAAACCGGGATCAGCAGGGTACAGCCAAGTGTTCTAACTCCCATATCTCTAGCCAAGAGATTGTTAATTGTTAACTATTATTAAAAATTGTTAATTTTTAACTATTATTAAAAATTTCACCATAGGGGCTGGTGCGATAGCACAGTGGGTAGGGCATCTGCTTTGCATGTGACCAACCTGAGTTTGAGTCCCAGGATCCTATATGGTCCCCTGAGCACCGCCAGGGGTAATTCTTGAGTGCAGAGCCAGGACTAACTCCTGAGCATCAACAGATGTGCTCCAAAAAGAAAAAAAATGACACTTGTCTATAAGCTTTAGTGTAGATCTATTTAACACTGACTTTTATTGTACTGGAGAAATAGTACAATGGGTAAAAGTCATTTTTGTAAAGACTGAACACAGAGCCAAAAGTAAGCGCTGAGCACCATCAGTTGTAACCAAACCTAAAAAGAAATTTTAATTTTAAAAAATTTATTTTGTTTTAATTTTTCATTGCCATATACCCAGGTATGGAATTTCTGGGTCAACAGCTAACTCTATAGTTAACTTTTGAGAATTTGTCAAACTATTTTCCAAAGTGGCTGTATCTTTTTATATTCTAATCTTTCTACACTCTTATCAACACTTGTTATTTTATTTTTGTTGGGGGGGGTGGTTGTTTAGCAACACCCAGCAGTGATCAGGATGACCTGATTCTAGCCATCTTTGTTCCTGTGAAGTGGCATTTCACTGTGGTTTTGGTTTGTATTTTCCTGGTGACTATAAAGGTTGAGTTTCTTTCTCTGTGCTCATTGGCTATTTGCATATCTTCTTTGGAGAAATGTCTATTCAAGTCCATTTCCTATTTAAAAATATGGTTATTTGTATTTTTATTATTGAATTGTCAAAATTCTTTATATATCCTGGGTACAAATAATAAACAAATAGTTTATTACATATGTGATTTGCAAATATATTTCTCTTTCTGTGAGTTGACTTTCCATCTTCTTAGTGGAATTAAAGCTTTAAAAAATCCAAAAGTTCTGGGGCTGGAGTGATAGTACAGTGGGTAGGGCTTTTGCTGCATTTGATCGAACTCAGGTTTGTTCCTTGGTATCCCATATGGTCCCCTGAGCAACACCAGTAACTCCTGAGCATAGTTGGGTGTGACCCTCCCCGCCCACCAAATAAAAAGGTCTAAAACTTTGTTGAAGTCCTTAACTTTGTTGAAGTCCAGTTACTTATTTATTTTTTCTTTTGTCCCCTCCTCTTTTGGTATACATGTCTGAGAGAGAGTTCTTCTCCTCTTACCTTAAGCTGGGTGCATTGCTCAGAAGATGGGCCTACCTGTTCACCTAGTTGCGGCAGTGAATGGCAATGACATCATCCACAGAACAGTCCAGCAGGGAGACTTCTCTCTGTCCAAGGATGTCAAACCAACCTTGGCATCAGCTATGGACATTCAGGTGGGAACTGTGAAAGGGTTTACAGGTCTTGCCCAGGTGTTGGTTGGGTGGGGATAGACAAGGGCCAAGACTAGTGGACTCCTCGGGACCCTGAACTTCTTCCCAGGTACCTTACAACATGGAGAGGATCTTCTGGCTACTGTCCAACTCTGATAGCCAGATGACCAGAACCCTCATGGAACAGTTTGAAAGAACCCACAGCCTGAGTCTACCCCAGGAGCTTCACGACAAAGTGAGTCCTTCCCTACACAGCAGGAAAGACTGCAGCCATGAAACTAGACTAGGGATTTATAGACCCACAGGGGGAAGGAGACACCTACTTCTTGAGCATCTGCTATGAGCCTGGCATTTTTCTGTCATTTTCTTTTTTTTTTTATTTTTGGGTCACACCCAACAATGCACAGGGGTTACTCCTGGCTTTGCACTCAGAAATTACTCCTGGCAGTGCTCAGGGAACCATATGGGATGCTGGGAATCGAACCCAGGTCAGCCGCATAAAGACAAATGCCCTACCTGCTGTGCTATCACTCCAGCTCCTTTGCTGTCATTTTTTTATGAGTCAATTTACTGAATGACAAAGGTGGTAGAGAACATTAATTTAAAGTCAAATGGGGGCTGAATGTAGAGACAGGGGTTTGGTCTTGTACTTGCCGTAGTGATAGGACAGTGGGTCAGGTACTTGCTGGCCTGAGTTTGATCCCTAGCTTCCCATATGGTCTCCAGGGCACTAGCAGGAGTGATCCCTGAGCACAGGGCCAAGAGAAAGCCTAATAATAGCTTAGCTAGCCCCAAACCCACAAAGTCAGGTGGGGCATAACTCCATGCCAACAAATTCATCAAGGTAGCACCTTAAACCAGCTTCTCTTTTGGTTTTTGGACTACACCCAGCAGTGCTCTGGCTTTATTCCTGGCTCTTTGACAGTATTAGTGAAGCAGTGAAGTTGAGCCTTTGGTGGGGCTGCAGTGGTAGTTTGTGGGTGTGGCTGCCAGGGGTATGCAGGGCAGGGACTCAGCCTGACCACCTCTGAAGGCACGGTGGAGTTCTCAGCCTGGGACCCACGTGTCCTTGAATTTTAGCTACTTAGCTTACACCTCCTCGGAGATTAGTACCTGAAATCTTTTTGCAGTTTGGTGTTTCTGCACAGAGGAAGCCCCGGCAGCTACAGCCACTCCATAGCTTCCCCATACTCTCTCTCTACTTTTGGGCACCATGGTTTGCAGTACAGACACTGAGAGGTCATCATGTTTGGTCCATTATCTACTAGCCAGAAAGTTTTTAATTAAAACTTATTTAGAAAGCTGTGAGGTGAGAGAAAGGGAAAAGTAACTACATATTTGAGAGAGAACATAGGCTTCTCCAAAGTAGACATTGGCAAGCAATGAAACAGAGACAAGCAAGCTGATGTGGGGGCCACCATAGGTAGCTCATGTGAGGTTGGGAGGAGAAAAACAGTCACTTTTTCCAGATCCACCTTTGCCACCCTGAGACCCAGCTGGGAATTTTAGAACTTATAAAGTCTGTGATGTGTATGAACGACTCAAAAAATTAGAAATTGAGCTCCCGTTGGACCCAGCAGTACCACTCCTGGGAATATATCCCAGAGAGGCAAAAAAGTATAGTCGAAGTGACATCTACACTTGTTTGTTCATTGCAGCACTGTTTACAATAGCCAGGATCTAGAAAAACCTGAGTGCCGAGAACAGATGACTGGTTAAAGAAACTTTGGTACATCTACATAATGAAGTGCTATGTAGCTGTTAGAAAAGATGAAGTCATGAAATTTACATAGAAGTGGTACTACGTGGAAAGTATCATGCTAAGTGAAATGAGTCAGAAAGAGAGGGACAGACATAGAAAGATTGCATTCATCTGGGGAACATAAAGTAACAAAATAAGAGACTAACACCCAAGAATAGCCGAGATAAGTACCAGAAGGTTTATTCCATGGCATGGAGGTCAGCGGCACATGCTAGGGGAAAAGGCAGCTCAGATAGATAAGGGAGCACCAAATAAAGGGTGTTGGGAGGATCCTCCCAGGATGGGAGATGATGCTGAAAGTAGACTATAGACCAAACATGATTGCCACTCAATGCCTCTTTTGCAAACCACAGCACCCAAAAGGAGCGAGAGAACAAAGGGGAATTCTGGAGTGATAACACAGCGGTAGGGTGTTTGCCTTGCACGCAGCCAGCCTGGCCGAGCCAGGATCGATTCCGCCACCCCTCTCAGAGAGCCTGGCAAGCTACTGAGTGTATTCAATATGCAAGACACAGTAACAAGTCTCAAAATGGAGACGTTACTGGGTCCGCTCGAGTAAATCAATGAACAACAGGAGGACAGTATTCACAGTGTTCAGAGGCAGGGTGGGATGGGGTGGGGGGAAGAGGAGGGGTGGGAGGGTTGCTGGAATCATTGGTGGTGGAGAATGGGCACTGGTGGAGGGATGGGTACTCAATCACTGTATAACTGAAACCCAAGCACAAAAAATTGTAAGTCTACAACTGTTCCTCATGGTGTTTCACTAATAAAAATTTAAAAATAAAAAAAATTAAAAATATAAACTGTCGCCACTATTGAAAACAAAAATAAATAAATAAATAATAAAGTCTGTGATGAGCCCCTTTGTGGCATAGGTCAGAGCCCCATCATCCCCACCAGGAAGCAAACACGTCACACCTGAAGTCCACTTGGTCTTCTCAGCAAGGGAGTTGATCCCTGCCACCCGACTTCTCTGGGAGCCATGGACTCAGGTTAGGATGAGGAATTGCTCTCTGCAAGAAAAGGAAAGGCAGTCCCAGACCTTACCCAGGATAACTGGGTTCGTATCTTGCTTCGCAAGAAAGAATTTCAGGAGTAACCAAGCAGTGAAGTAAAACAGATTTTACTTGGAGGTTTTTGAAGATGAGGAGGGAGGGAAAGTGAGAGAGAGTAATGTGCTCAAGAGAGAGTGTAGGCTTCTCCAAGAGCGGAGAGATCCTTGAATGGGCTCTTGGACTGGCTTTTATATGGATACCTTCTCTGACTGTCTTTGTCTTGAATGTTCTGAAGTCTTCTTTGGGCTGAACTGCAAAGGTTAATCAGATTAAGGGAGGGATTGAGGCTTCTAAGGTCTTATCAGGTCTTGTTTTCTGTACCCACAAGGGTCAGCCTTAGGACTTTACTTCCCAGAAATTTGATTGTAAATCAGGTGGCTTTATTACCTAGAAATTTTATTGCCAGGGGTCCTTTTCCCTGTCCATCTGCCTCCCTACATCAAAGTGAGGTAGTGTGTGCCTCACTTCGGGATGGGATGGGATGTGTGAGTAAGCTACAAATGACTTTCAGAAGGAGCTATTATTCAAGTCTTCCAAGTGGGTTTTTCTGGAGTTTTGCACACATAGAAGTTAACCTTGGGCTGGAGTGATAGCACAATGGGTAGGCCGTTTGTCTTGCACCGACCTGAGTTCAATTCCTCCACCCCTCTTGAAGAACCCGACAAGCTACCGAGAGTATCTCGCCCACACGGCAAAGCCTGGCAAGCTACCCGTGGCGTATTCCATATGCCAAACACAGTAACAAGTCTCACAATGCTACTGGGCCCGCTTGAGCAAATCGAACAACGGGAGGACAGTGACAGTGACAGAAATTAACCTGGGCATTCTCACAGGAAAGCCTTACACTGCTGATGGTCTTCTCTGAGTCTCATAAATTCTTCTGTAGCTTCTTCCTGAGGGTTCCACTCCTTCTTTAGGTGGGTCCTTGGATTTCTGAATCAGGATGGTGCTAGTTTCTCCACTCAAGGTCAGGATTGCTTGTCAAAGGGATGTGGTCTTCACACTTTGGGCCTAACTCATGCCTTGGGCTAGGAAATCTGTGCTTATTTTTTATTATGATGTCGGTGGGCCCCCACTGGTGCCTTATGTGAGGCAGGGAGGAGACAGTCGCTTTCTTCCAATGGTTTTGGGGTTCTTGTCTTGCTTTGCAGATAATAATTTCAGGAGTAGAAGAGCAGTGAAGTAAAACATTTTATTTGGAGGTTTTTAGGAAGGGAGAGGGGAGAGAGAGAGAGAGAGAGAGAGAGAGAGAGAGAGAGAGAGAGAGAGAGAGAGAGAGAGAGAGAGAGAGAAACTCGCTCAAGAGAGAAGAGAGCGTGGGCTTCTCTGAAGGTGGAGAGAGCGCCTACATACATCCCACCATTTCATGCTTTGAGTACATCAAAGTACACATCTCAAGAGGGGAAATGAGGGTGATACATGTGCTTGGGCACAAGCAGCGCAGGGGCTTGGGCAGCATATGCATGCCCTTCTTTTGCTCAAGGTGGCTTTTATAGGGTTTTTCCAAGCCACCCCACATGGAACTTTCTAGCATCTTATCTAAAGAGTCTCCATTTGCTAGGGTTGTTGCTAAGTGGGTAGAGTTGGGAGTGGTCGATGATCCTCTTTGAAAACTCCTTTTCTTGACCTTTGTTCCTGCTGGATCTTCTCTTGGAGGATGGGTCCAGCCTTCTCTGGTCTGAGCTAGCTGAGAGTTAATCAGATTAAAGGAAGGAGTTGAGGGTTCTTGAGTAATTTCCTTTGTGACCTTTCTGTAGGGAAGGGTTCAGTCTCCTCAAGTCTTGCTTTCTGTTTCCACAAGGTGGGTCAAATTTAGGACTTATTACTTAGGCTTTATTCCCAGAAATTTCAGTGCCATTATGTGGAAGGAGGAGGGGTTGGGGGAGGTGATCCCTTCCCTAATCTATCTGCCTACATCAATATAGAAACTCTAATCTCAGTTTTTTTTTATAAGTCTCCACACTGTTTTCAATAGAGGTTGAGCCTGTTATCATTCTCAGTGCAGTGCAAGTGAGTTCTTTTCCACCTCATCCCAGCCAATGCTGGTTGTTTCTGGACTGTTTAATATTTGCCAATCTACTGGTGTGAGCTGATATCTCATTGTCATTTTAATCTGCATTTTCCTGATGCAAAGGAATGGTGAACACTTTAATTTACAAGTCACCAACTGTTCAGATGTCCTCTTGGGGGGAACTGTCTATTCATCTTCTGTCTCCCATTTCTTGTTGGGGTCAGCCTGATTACACCAAAATGTATTGGCCTGGCCCAAATGTTTCATTTCCCCAAGTTGAACCGGCCTAAAACTGGGAAATCAGGCTTTTTTTCTCTGAACCGAATCTGAGCCATTGGACCTATGCATGTCATTGGAGAGTGGTGTTTATTGGTTTCTGGGTTTTTTTTTTTTTATGTTTTCCTTTTGGTTTGGGGGCTTATGCCAAGCAGTGCTCAGGGATTACTCCTAGATCTGCACTCAGGTGTGACTCCTGGTAGCGCTTGGGGATGGAATGCTGGGATCCAATGCCAACCTACTGCAGATTGCTCTGATCCGGGATAGTGGGGTTTATCACCCATCCCCTGCTCTCCCCCAACCTGATTCCCACCTTGCAGCTTTCAGGGGCGGTCACGTCTGTGTCGGTGTTGGATGAGACCATCCTTCAGACCATGGAGCGCTGCTGGGAGGAGAACAGGTACTTCCTGTGCCCTCACACAGCAGTGGCTGTGAGCTTCCACTACCAGAAGATGGACAGGCCCAGGTAGGACAGGGCCACCCTTGGCCTTTTGGGGCTTTCCTCTTCCCCGGAAGGGGAGACCTGGGTGCGAACAATGAACTTCTGTTGCATGATGGCCCTGAAACTGTAGTTCCTAAAGGGTTGCGTGTGAGAGCCCCCAGACAGCCCTCGAGTGGGGTGACCTGGGAGGGGGGGGATGTGATGGAGCCTGGCGGTCCACCCACATAGCTTCCTGTCCCCACAGTGGCCCCCGATGCTGCCTGGCCCCTGCCTCGGCCGCCAAGTTCCCAGAAGCCGTGCTGGCAGCGGGCCTGACCCCGGAGACCCCCGCGGAGATCCTGGCCCTGCAGAGCCGCGAGACGCGCTGCACCCCGATGCAGAAGGGAGACGACTGGACACGCATACTCCGCAGCACCATCCAGGGCATCAGCTGCCGCCGGGGGTCGCCTTCCTGAGCAGGTGGCTGGGTGGCTTTCTCAGCCCCCCCCCCCCCCCCCCCCCCCCCCCGGGCCGCTCCTTGCTTTCTGCTCCCCTGGTCCAGAGTGGGGGTGGGCGGCTGCTGGGCTCTGGTAGTGATTAATAAAGTGCTGGGAAGGTCTCAGGAAAACACCCCATTCCCTCTCCGTGGTGCTTGACTGTGTCCTTGGCTGTGCCAAGTTTCAGCGCTTGCAAATGAAGAGTCTCAGGCAGAGGTGTAAGAGCCCAGACCAGGAACGCAGCCCCGGGCCACGGGGACCGAGTGTAGCAGCTCTCGGGTCAGCATCATCTTCCGCTGTGTCAGAGCCACTGACCCCAGCCGCCTACACAAGGAAGTCTCCTGCCGTGTGGCATCTGTGCCGTGAATGTGATTTCAGTGGGCCCCACGGGTGACTTACTTGAAGTGGGGAGGAGAAAGATGGTCACTTTCTCCTGATCTGCCTCTGTCGCCTGGGATCCAGGGTTACTGGGTTCCTGTCTCACTCGCAGAAAGGAATTTCAGGAGTAGACAAACAGTGAAGCAAAATAGATTTTATTTGGAGGGGTTTTTGGGGGGTGGGGTGTGGAAGAGAGAGAGAGAGAGAGAGAGAGAGAGAGAGAGAGAGAGAGAGAGAGAGAGAGAGTGACACACTCGAAAGACTGCGGACTTCTCCAAGGGCAGAGAGAGCCCCTACACACATCCCAGCGTTTAGACATGAAAGCATGAAAGTACACATCTCAAGAGGAGCAAGAGGAGATGCGGGCAACACACATGTGCTCGGGCACCACATGTACTCGGCCATGTGGGCGCCAGCAGCACTTGGGCTCCAGCGGGCAGCTCGCCCTTCCTTTGTTCAAGGTGGCTCTTATAGGCCCTTCAAGGGTCTTGATCCGGAAGTTCTGGAGTCTTCTCCGGGGCTGAATCACTTAAATTAATTGGATTAAAGGAGAGGTCCTAGGATTTTAAAGGAGAGGAACTTCATGGGGAGGGGTCCAATCTCCTCGGGGTCTGCTGAAGGTCTTATCAGGTCTTTGTTTTCCATATCCACAGAGTGGATCAGTCTTAAAATTTTCCTTCCCAGAAGTTTTGTTGACCTGAATTTCATTGCCGAGGACCTTTCCCTGTCTTACCTGCCTACATCACATACATGGACCGTTCCAAGTTGGTGCAGTGGGGTGAGACTGTGAAACAGGCTGTGGGCACTTGGCAGGGGTGGCAGCAATGAAGTGTTGAAGGGCAAGGTCAGCAGATGCAGGTAGGCAGGGATGGTGTGCACCCCAGGGTGCAGACTGAGTGCCATAAACAAGCAACAAGTACTGCCTGTTAATGGCACTGGTTAAACCAGGTCGGGTCTCAGCAGTGGGCAGCAAGCAGAGCCGTTCCTCATGCTGACCACCCGATGTTTCTGTAAGACCCTGGGTAATTGCCTCTCCCGAGGAAACCCAGGGAGGCAGGTGGCGCTCTTCCTCTAGAGCGGCAACCCTGTACTGACCCTGGGCACCTGGGCTTCTCCACATGTGCGTCCAGTCTCTCTGGACAGTTACATTTTGATTCCTGAGTGTTCTTTACTGGGGAGTTGCCCACATCAACAGGGCTGGAAGTAAAGTTCCTCATGTCCGAATTTTGACAGAACCAAATGCTTTAAAGGCCCGTTATTCCCTTCTATCCTCCTTTCTGATTCTCTTTGAAAACAGTTCCATCTCCAGGCTTCTTGAAGTACCATTGCTAGGCACTTTTTGCACTTGCACACAATAAAGCTTTTCATTGAGGGTTGTAACTTTTTATTATTATTATTATTATTAGTGAATCATGGTGGGGTACAGTTACAGACTTACAAACTTTCGTGCTTGCGTTTCAGTTATACAATGGTCGAGTAGCCATCCCTCCACCAGTGCCCATTGAAGGTTGAAACTTTTTGTGTTTGCTGCAATGGATGAAAAATCCTTTAAATATGTTCTCAGCTTCAAAATGAAAGAAAAAAGGAATCTAAAATCGCTCCTTAATAGGCCCCTCTCGGGCTGGGAGATGCAGGCTGAAAGTAGACTATAGACCGAACATGATTGCCACTCAATATCTCTACTGCAAATCACAACACCGAAAAGGAGAGAGAGAACAAAAAGAAATGCCCTGCCACAGAGGCGGGGTGGGGTGGAGGGGACAGGGTGGGGGTGGTGGAAGGGATGCTGGGACCATTGGTGGTGGAAAATGGGCACTGGTGGAGGATGGGTACTTGACCATTGTATGACTGAAATGCAAGCATGAAAGTTTGTAAGTCTGTAACTGTACCTCACAATGATTCACTAATAAAAATTAAATTAATCCATTAATTAAATCGCTCCTTAATAATGCCCTGCTAAGTTTTTTTTTTTTTTGAAAGGGGAATAGTTTGTTGTGCCAAATTAAATTAAGTAAATTATTAAAGTGCATTTTATCTTGTTTCCTTTTCCTGGGCCATTTGAAGTTATGTAGGTGGCTTTGTTGTTAGGGTTCATTTTCTTATTTTTGTGGACAGTGGAGTTCTGGACTCAGCCTTGGCTTTGTGTTGACAAGAACACACTGCAGAGGGCTGCAGGCTTTGCTGTGTTACTGTGCAGTTCAAATCTTGTAGTAGGGATCTAGACCATGGGTAAGAACATCCAGCCCACAGACCTATAAGGTGTGAAATCATTAGGTCTGACTTGGTCCTCAATGAGTCTCACTGACTGCCTGTGACAAGTGTGTCTGGATTGCATGGCCTACCAAAACAATAACTATCCCAATGGAATCTTGGTAGAGATCAGATTCCTCACTCCGGGACACAGCAAGTGTTTTTGTCCACACAAGCCTCATGCCCTGGTTGCTGGGGTCTCTCTGGAAAGCTCTCTGGAAAGTAGTTGAAGCAGACAGTGGGGAGTAGCATGGGGGGGAGGGGGTTGTGAGTTGTGAGGATGGGTTTCTGTTTTCTTTCCCTGGGCCATTTGGAGTTATGTAGGTGGCTTGTTCCTACGGTTCATATTCTTATTTCTCTGGGCAGTGGAGTTCTGGACTCAGCTTTGGCTGAGGGCTGCTGTGAAGGGAACCAGTGGGCCCGTGCCTTGAGAGTACCCTCCCCTCCCTGAGATCTAAGGCACAGGCCACCCAGGCTTGATCTCTACCTGCCATCCACATCAGAACTGCAGCTTGGCACCTCCAAGGAGTCCTGGGGCCAAAGAGAGGCCAGAGGACACCAGGGTACTGGAAAAGTTTGCATTGTATGGCACGCAGTAGAGAGAGGGTGGGTTGGGGGGGTGCTGGCCCACAGGTGGATGGAAGGAGCATCGCTAAAGGAATAATAACAGTCCTTAGAGGTCATAGCACTGAGCCATTTCTGTGACAGTGACATGCGTGATGTATGCCCAGGCCCTTACAGAATAGGCCAATACTTAGAGGTCACATGAAAAGGTTTTGATTTCCTCAAAAATCAAAAGGGGACTTGAGAGATAGTGTAGGGGTTAATATCCTTGCCTTGCATGCAGCAGAACCCGCTTCAAATTCCTGACACAACATATGGTCCTTTGAGCATTACCGGGGGGGCCACCCCTGCACAACAGGGTCACTCCTGAACACAGAGGCAGGAATAGCCTCTGAACACCATTGGGTGTCGCCCACCCCCATCTATACAGATGTAAAAGTAGATAAAAGGGATAGAGGGTGCAGCTCAGTAGTTGAGCCCTAGCCTTGTACGTGTGAGGCCCCGGTTTTGGTTCCAAATAAGGAAAGAGAAAGAAGGGAAAGAGAGAGAGTGAGAGAGAGTAATAGAAAAAGAAAGGAACAAAGAATACAGTCCACTTGGTTATATTCATCTGTAAGCCAACACCCTTAGCTGACCAACAAAGAATTAAAATATTTTCATGGAGAAAGTCCCTGGAAAGAAAAAGTGCCCAGTGTCTAAAAATTCCTACTGGGCTCAGAGAGGAGCCACTGTGTGTCAGAGAAAGCGTTGTAAGCATCACCAACATCATCCTGATCACAGACTGCCCAGTGGGTACCACTATTATCACATTTTTAAGAGAATGAGAACCTCAGAGGTGAGGTCACTTGCCAGGGATCAGAGGCTAGAACTTGAACCCAGTCATCTGTAATCCAGATCGAGGTGTATTTTTCCATTTCATCATGCTATAGGCAGCTGGTGATGCTCTGCTGGGATGGAACCCGCCTCTCCCACCCCCTCCTCATCTCCCTTCCCTCTCCCTTGCATGGTTGGATTGGGGAGCCTGGCTGTGCTTCTCCAGAAGGCCACCAGGGGCCGCTGCAGCCCTACGCTCCAGCTCCTAGGGTGCCGACAGATCAAACCCCTCCAACTGAGGCCCTTATAACTGTGATAGCACCCTCCAAAAAAGCCATTAGATATATACACAAAACATCAACCACAGAATATTTTAACCCCAAGAGTTTTAGGGGTAAATGGTAAAGAAGGTCAAACAGTGAGATGAAGAGCAGGGAGATAATGCAGCAGTTAGTGTTCATGAACCTTACCTGGATTCAATTCTCTTCACCACATGGTTCCCTGAGCATCACAGGGTGCAGCCTGGAGGTCCCCAGTACCTCTGGGGTGGCCAGCCCGGGTGTGTCCAGCACTGCAAGGCCTGAGCAGCACCCTCAGGGCCTTGCAATGAACCACCAACCCAGCTGGAGGAGAATCGCTGGTGGGGCCCCCAGGCCTTCCAAACACTACTTGGGAACCTCCCCTGCCCCTGCCCCAGTCTCCCAAGGAAGTTAGATGACTCTGATTGGAGTTGTTCTTTCTGAGTTACCAACTCCCTGGCGGTGTCATCAAAAATGTGCTATTTTATCTCCGTGCGCCTCAGTTTCCTCATTTACTAATTACAATACTTTGCTGGCTTGTTTTGAGGATTATGTGAGATAATGTATTTCCAAGAGCTGGGTAAATGCTAAACCATACAAATGGTTCTTATTATTAACACAATTATAGTCTGCAAGAAACAATTTAGTGCTTTTAAGCTATCTTGTGTTTTTTGC